CCACGCCCTATTAGGGTTTAGGGTTTAGGGTTTAGGGTTTAGGGTTTAGGGTTTAGGGTTTAGGGTTTAGGGTTTAGGGTTTAGGGTTTAGGGTAGGGTTTAGGGTTTAGGGTTTAGGGTTTAGACCGCATTCGCATATGAGACGAGTACAGTTCAGGCTTGCCGAATCGAGGTTTAATGGTGGATGCATGGTCGTGACGGTTGTTTTTCAAGTTAACCTCGAGGGTCCATACATACTAAGACTATGGAATTAGGTCCCCGAAACCATAGTAAGTATGGTCTTTCGGGGCGCAATGCCATAATGGTAGTCTATATATGGACCCTCTGGGTCATGGAGGCCCAGTCGAGCGCAATGTAGCCCGCTGGTCGATGACCCCTCTTCTTCACGGTCCTGAGTTTTCGGATACCTGCTACTGAGCCATTTATTAAACGGCGCATTGTCACAGACCGCCTTGGAGTCCGGGCGCCAGACTTGGCACTCAGATATGCAGAACATTGCAGCGACGGTCTCATCGAGGGGCCGTTTGGGTGCAATGCCCGCAGCATGTTTGCCGATCAGCTGGGCATTACTGGCCAAAACAGGCTGCAGTCCTTTGGATCCTGGACGTGTTTCACGCCTGCGAGAAGGTAGGTGCCCACAGTGACCATGTTGAGTCGCAGACGTCAGGGTTTTTTGCCATGCTTCAGGTTGTACGATTTGGCGGGGTGGGCTTGGTTTTCGGGCTTTGTTACAGGCTTAGGGTTTGGCGTTTTGTTCGGCGTTCAGAGTGTGTTCAGTGCAAGGATGCCTCTCTAGACAGGTCCCAATACTCCCTAATCCCTCAACGCTCAACCCAGACCGCGGATAATAAAGAACAGGCCGGTCGGTTAAGGTTTTATGGAAGACTAGCTTAAAACACCCTCAATCCTTACATCTTAAATCCTGAAATTGTAAAGCCCGAAATTCCGTGAAGCCCTGAAGCCCAAAACTCTAAAGCCCAACACTAGACCCCGAACGCCCGCGACCCAAAACCCTGAATGAAGGATCACGGGAATTAGGACCTAGGGTTGTGATGTGTTGTCAAAAGAGGTAGATACAGTGATAGTCACAAATAACCGATTAAGGTATTTATACAACTTACTTACCAAGTTTACCAAGTCCCATGATCCTTCAAGTACAGCAGTAATGATAATCAATCATACCCCACCATCCTGTTCCAACTATTCCCTAAACCCTAAACCCTAAACCCTGAAACCCTGTTCCAACTATCACGCTACGGCCCCTTAAGTCGAACCCCCCAATGTTGGAACATCGTGGTCCTGGTCCTGGTGCCCAGAAGGTACAGTGTAAGGGCTCCTGGCACGAATCCTCCCAAACCCATCTCCCAACTTTCTGGGCTTCATCACTGTCTATCAACCCAGAGGGTCCATATATATATATATATATATATATATATATATATATATTACTATTACTGTTACTGTTAAGAAATTAGGTCCCCAAAACCATAGTAAGGATGGTCTTTTGGGGCCCAGTGCCATAATGGTAGTATATATGGACCCTCTGGGTAATAGAGGGACCTTGATAATTGGAATAGGGTTTGGGGTATATTATACTATATTTATAATAAGGAACCGCCAGAACCCCAGTCTAATTCTTAAGGCTCCTACATCAAGTGAACGCCTGCCGAGGCGGGCCCATCACCGTGACTTCCACGCCGCTCTCTCCAGACGAAGCCGGGCCCTGAGGATTGTAAGATCTCCCCAATATAAGGGGTTTAGGGTGTAGCGCATGTAGGACCTCCCTAGGGTCCAGGGCAATTACCCATACTATTTTGGTGGGCTCCTTATTATATTTATAGTAGAGTATATCCCAAAACCCTGTTCTAGTTGTTTAGGGTTTAGGGACGGTAGGATCTTCCTAATAAAGGGGCTTCAATAATTACCCATACGATTTTGAGGTTCCTTATTATAGCTATAGTGTCATATACCCCAAAACCATTTTTCTAATTGTATGAAGGCTTCTACGTTACCTAGAACAGTCCTGAAAGGGTTCGTCTAAGGGATCTATACGGGTTCTACAAGAGGGGTTTCAGGGTTCCCTTAAAGGGTTCCTTTAGGGGATCTTTATGGGTTCTACAAGACAGGTTTTAGGGTTCCTTTCAAGGGATCGAAGAAGGAATCTATATGAGTTCTATAAGAGAGGTTTTAGGGTACACTTAGAGGATCATGGTACTTATTAACTGGGGTTATGGCCCTGATCCTCCAAGTAGAACATGGGAAGGATCCAAAAATGTAGATCCACTAGTTTGGGATGGGACCCGATAGGCTGTATAAGGTTCTACAGAGGCCGCTATCTTCGGCTTATAAATGGCGAAGCAAACATTGCTCGAAGTGCCTGATGAGGGAGATGTTTAGGGCTTCGCCTTATTGAAGTTTTAGGGTCTCTGGTTCAGGGTTTACTTTAGGAGATGACGCCACCCCTCATTTTGCAAGAAATCTCCAAGGGATCAGGACAAGCCCCCGTTCAGGATACTTACGGCCGCGCTTAACATCGGGTTTGCCAAGTCTCCTCAACCTGCAAGCACGTCAGGTGAAGGAGGTGGCGGTGCAATTCTGTCGGTGCTCCTTCGCTGGGCACCCAGCAAGGAAGAGCTTACCGTTGTCACAAGTCAGGATTTACTCGGAGGATTATGGGACTTAGTACGTAGGGTTATAAGTAATTAGCCTCATTCGGAGTTACAAGCAATGATAATTTATAGCCCCAGTTACTAAGTCAAATGATCCTCCAAAGAGGGGTTTAGGGGTTGCAGGTTTGCTGTTTGCCAGAGAGCCAACGCCTCCATTGTGGGCTTCGGCGTGTGGTTGCTAGACCCTAGAAGACTACTATAGTGGCTTCAATAATTACCTATATTATTTTGTTGGCTCCTTAAAGTATTATATTGTTGCTATACAAAGGACCCCAAAACCTTTGTTCTAATTATTAAGGCACCAATATTACACCCTCAACCCTCAACCTTAGACCCTGAACCCTAAACCCTAAGCCCTGAACCCTGAACCCTGAACCCTGAAACCTCAACCTTAAGCCTTAAAACCTTGACCCCTAAACCATCAACCTTCAAACCCTTATCCCTAAACACTCACTCTTCAATCCCTAAACCCTAAACTGCACAAGCTCAAACCCGAGACCCTGATCCGCCAAGGCTTGAATGCCCCGAACTCTTGATCTACTGTTGGTGATATGAACCCTGCATTACCTTGAGGACCCTGAACTACGGGAATTATGGCATGGTCCTTATTATGGGT